AATTGTTTATGCCAGTCATACCTTAAGAGTATGTTCAATGGTTCGCCATGAATCTGTGAAGCTTGAATACTTGTTTCGGTAAGCATATCACTCACTATTTCTGACTCAGCTACCACGTCAAAGTTATAAAATCTGTATTAGCATCAGTGTTTAGTCCTCCACCTCGTGATATATGATCAAATGACTCCACATGAGTTTGGCAGCCCCGATTCGTCTTAAGCGGGGGAATTCCCCCAGGAGACCGCAAGTAAAGGTCACCTTATTTTATCTCGGCAGATATAAATCTGAAGACTCCGACTTAAAGCTGTCTTTTTTGTCTTGACATGGTTTATAACGCAAGACCGCGTAATACGTTCGTTGACTTCCGTCTCAGCAGGTGAAATTCTAAAGACCGTGAAGGACAGCCTCCCTTTTGTTCCGATTTTTCTTAGCAATATTGCTGGTATATAATTTGAAGAGCTGCATGACTCGTACATATCTGTCGCAGCTCGTGCCGCTGAAAAAAAATGCGTGGTGTGAAACACCGCAGCTTTCCGGTCGGTTGATAAATAGCCTATAGAATTCTTATCGGGCCTTAACAAGTTTAATTTATGATTGGAGTTTACACCTAGGAGCAAACGGTGTCCTGCGCGGCCAAAGTCCTTTCACTTCATTTGGAGCTTCGAAAAACTTTCAGCCATAACCAGTGTCTTCTTCTCGAAAAGCATGGATAGCCTTCTTGTGCTTTGCTCATGACGCCCTTACAGCTACCGGGACAATGTTTGGCTTCACAAACCCCGTAACATAAATTTAACGGCCAGTAGACTTCAGCTGTGACCCGCATTTCTCCTTGCATGAGTCACTTCCTCGAAGGACGGGTCTAGCCTCTGACTCAGTTTTATCTTAGTATGTCGCATTACGCCTGCGGGAGCTCAGTACATTTATCGCGAAAGGTTCGTCGGTTGATCCTGCGTGGGAGATCGATTTTCACATCACTCCGTCGATAGAATAGAATACATGTAGGGCACAAGAATCTGGTACCAGGACCTCCTGATAGCGAGACACCACTTAGTAGCCAGACGATCATCTCTTCATATCCAGCGTGGCTGTAATTCAGCGCCTCTGACGCACCCGTGACAACAAGCCTTTTACACTCTGCAACCCCAACGTCCCTTTCAAATCAAAAATTTTGTCTTACATTCAATGCGGCCCAGATGTTTCGGAGCTCGCACATTGGGTTAGCTTGGGCCACGTCTAAACTAGACATTTCAAGTGTTTCCAAATACGGAAAGGACTTGGTGATGAGACTTGTACGTGACATTCTGGCTCGAAAATTGTTAGTGCTGGTTCTTAGTTTGGAGCAGCGTCGTGCCCATGGCTATCATAAAATTTTATTTCAGCAAGAATATTTTGTTTTGTGGTTGTTCTTCAGACACTCAAACAGAAATGCCGTACAGAGCTCTGTGGGACTTATATCCCAAATACTAGCCATCAATTCACCAATTACCTATAAGCTTCAAAGAAACAACAATGTGATGTATTAATGACGCTTTTCCTCATCGGCGCAATACGCGCGGTGTTTGTCGTGTCATCGTGATACGCATTAAATATGAATGAGAACAATTATCAGGATATTTGAAAGAGTAGCTGTCACACTTCCCGCGAAAGTACTCTGCAATTTAAGTAGAATGACACATTCATTTGTGGCAAATAACAAGCTCATCTCCTCTTCCGGTACCTGCGTACCCTTTCACTGACTTTACCTTATTGCAGTTCTTCGCGAATTCACTTCAAAAGTAATGTTACTCAGCACGATAAAAACTTCTGTTGAAGGCGTTGTGGATGAGTACATACCCAAGAGCTATTCCAGTCAATCTATGTCAAGAGTAAATGGTCGTTTCCGCCACTTACTTGTGGAGCTTCACTACTCCGTACGGTGTGCAAGTCTCATGGCAGTGCTACGGGTACATCAGGGCAAGAATGAGCCCTTTATCTTGACATCATGATCTATCGCTTCTACTCGGGATTAACTGTCAATCTATAATTTCATTGACCGTAGCATGGGAGATAACAATACCCACCTGGCTCCACTGTCCAACGGCACTGTCCCAGAGGGCACCAGCTTTCAGTTGTTATTTATGCCCTGTCATATATACACTCTCGATAGCATGACATACGGTCAGTCGTTTCCGTGTCAATATATATACAGTCTAGATATACAATCGCCCGCCTCTACCGCATCATACTACCGCAAATTACTGCCGCTATACTTTATCGAGCTCTGCTCGAGACATCAAGCTATATTGATGCTATCGATTCCGGACGATCGCACATCTTTTAATGAAGCTATTGCGATTTAATGTCCGCCCCGAAAATGTTTCTGCTTCCTGGCAGAGGTGAGATCAACTCTACCATGAGAGATATGTCCAGATTTTTTCGTCCACTCGACCCATGGCTCGCAGCGTTCCAGCTACGCCATATTTAGGATGGCTTCGTTTCTCAAATTCGTGTGAAGACTAGACAGAGGGTAACGCTAACAGATGTCGCAAACTTAACTTGATTTTAACATGGTCTTCAAAACCTTCAACCAGCATTCTCGTTGCAAGACGCACGGAAATCGTATCCGTATTTGATATCTGAATTACCCCGCGTTCCGTCTACTATTTCAAAGGTCGCACGTTGTAGGCTATAGAAAGCTCGGGACGTTGACGTTAGCAATTTGCAGCCATGGACTAAAGACCTAATCTTTCTTACAGTGGTCCCTCTTTCTATGGCTGACTTTCATTGACAATGACTTTCAAGTTGTACAGAAGAATTCAACTTTTCCCAGTAGGTACAATAAGACCTGACGTTTCCTTGCGATGACTTTGTCTTTGCTTTTACGACCCTTGAACCTCTTGGCCAAGAAGAAACGCAACACAAGTCATTTGTACTACCGCAATATTGCATAGCAGCAATAGATTACTTTTCGCCTCCTCCGCATAGCTAAAGTCCATCTGCCAGGTGTTCTTATAATTTTAGCTCTCAGTGCCAGCTCTCGCGACATGACAGTTGACTCCGTATTTAATACAAACTTTACCGCTTCGTCGAAATAGATAGGGTGGATGCGGAAGGTATCGATGGGTACTGCGCCTGTTCAGAGATGATAATTACAAATTATGATAGTTTCTGCTTCCTAGAGAGGTCCGACGCCATTGCAGCTCACTGTTGCGCAGAATTTTAATCCGACAACGGAATTTTGAATCCAGTGTGGCGGAGAGTGTGACGGCACAATAACATTGTTATACTATCCATTTATCTAATCCGTTTGTAAAACTGTGCGAAATACATTATTGAAAAGTGTAACGAAAATAATTGCACTTTTTGTGTTATCGTGAATATTCGTATTACCGACGATCATCAATTACGAAGATGATGGAAGCCCGTTCAGTGCGTGATACACGTATACCGCCAGCCACACGTCAAGTGACGAAGACACTTTTTTAATGTATTGAAGTAGTATCAACCAAGTTAAAGTAAATTCCACATACTTATGATAGCAGAGCAAACCCAGGGTGCAGTCAGCTTATTTCAATTTCGCTCTTAATTGGAGCTTACGAATCCGACCTCTGTGTATTTGCTAAGGTGGACTTCAAGAAGCAAAATTCTGTGCAAAGTGCACTGCGTCCCTGTTGCACTCACCGTCGGAGCTGATTTAGGGACAAAGACGATTAGTGTTTATGTATTGTGTCACTCTCCCTTTGCATTATCAGCAGTGTTACCTCCAGAGCCCACCTTGTCATCCAGCGAATACAGAATTCGACGCATGTATTGAAGCTTAGTATCATGCAGAGGCAGTTATGATATCAATGTAGCACCCTTGGGCAACCTGTTCACTGAATAGACGAGAAGTCATGAGTACGGGCAGCAGTAGAGTGTCGCCGCATCAAGAGAGGCAACTGCTGCTACCAAAGACATTTTCTTTTGTCTATGAGGGTATATACAATCACATATTGACTGCTCACCATCCGTTCGCCGCCTTGCAAACGATGATAGCTATCACAAGAGATCCTCCTCCATATTTGTGGCATTTACCATGTCGGGTAAAGTGCTTCGTTACGTACTAATGAGGGGTACCGATCACTGGTAATATATCACGCAATCTCATCGACTATACTGAAAATTGGCTTTCAGCATACCTTTACACATGGTTTCATGCAATTTCATGACTCTCAGGTCACCTGGCCTACGCAAGTAGCTAACCATTTCTATGTCCTGGTATGCAATTCCTTATGGACCTTAATTTCTCTGTTCACCAGTATATATATAACAAAAATAAAATATAATAAAATATTTATTTTTTCCTAATAAAAATTGGTGGACTATTCACAAGCAAGTATCGGTAAGAGGTACCGGTAGAATCCAATTTGGGTATAGATTTAGAAAAAAATGAGCACACATCTTAACCTGTCCCAAAATGTGTACCCGCACACCCCTGTTACAGAATATTCATAACGTGTAACTCGAAGTCCTTGAGTTCTATATTCATATGTTTGTATAGCGTCTGTAACATCATTTTCTGCAAATGAACTTGATATGTTTGCTATGTGTAGTGCTGTAATAAAGGCTTAGAGCTGGACCGCTTTATGTTGCGTCTACAACGATATTTCTCTTTGAATGTGGGGCTACTTTAGCTGCCAAGTTCAATAAGAATTGAATGTATCCATGTCCGACTACTGAGGTTCCTTTCGGTGCAATGTGGGAGGCTCGCGAGTCGTTAGTAGCTTTTGTAGGATGATTTAGGTAATCTCATCGTCGTGGGATGTTTCAGCTGCTTTGCGCTGAGAAGAACGAATTGGTTAACTTCTTTGAAATTCTGGATCAGCTAACATTAGCGTATTAAGCGATGTAGTGATTTACTTGGTGCCATTTACGACAAGAGCCTTTCTACTCCACGGATCGAAGATAATGAGATTTATAATACATTGTGTTTTTTTTCGTTTCGATGTCCTTAATCAAGAGTAGCCATTCAAGATTCTACACTAAAAGTTACTAGGTAAGACATTAAAAAAGTGGAAGTGCTGGTCTTTGTCAAAAGCACCAACCAACGTGCTGCAATCAGAGCACACCACAGCATAAAATTCATCATTTTGCAACTTTCTAGCCCCATTTGTCGTTGCTTCCTTGGTTGCATCCAAATTCTGCCGTTTGTGAAATGGTAGAGATGCTAGTACATTGCTCTTTTCACCAGATGTATATGTCAAAGTTTCGTCTCTTTTCACACGACAATTGATTGCTGCTGTCGCTCGATATTGATTCGTGAACGTTGCATGTCTGCAACCCATTTTTGGTCAGTATTATCGACATTACAAACCAAAAAGAACCATGCGTACCTCTCGCAAACCATGCACACCGTTACAAAACAACATGGACAACAAAGCATGGCATCAGTCACTTGTTTTGTAGCATGCTTTCCAACTACAGCAAGGTCACAAATTTATATTAGTTCACCACGCCCTTGTCTTCGATGCCTCATCATATCTTACCAAAGTTCGTCTGTACCCACTGCTCATCTGCGTCGTCCAATTGATCATCGTAGAGCGGATCTGGGTTCATTAATTCGTCTTCCTCCTCATCTTTACCCACTTGAGTCATACTAGAAGATCGTCGCATGCCCAATCGTTTTTTTTCTGGTGCATGACCATCTACACGTTCGATCATCGGCATCGGCGATGCACTCGAAAATTCCACTATTTCTTCAGATAAATTCACTTTATTGTGTTGTATAACAAATTGAAATGGGGCGTCTCCCATGATATGATTTTTGATAGCCACACTATCACCAGCTGCATCCAACGCTTCTTGCAGCTGCATAATTCGTGTATTGTGCAGCTCCAAAGCACGAGGTGAGACTATCACCTCTTCATCTCCTAAAACAAACACTCCTGTAGCCAGAGTTTTGACCGCTTTTTCAGCTCTTCGAGAAGTTTTATGCATAGCTCGACTGCTGTTTAAGCTACGGATAGGCGTTAGAACATCGCGCGCAAGTGGAGGAGGGTCTAGGTAGCTGGAGGACTCGAACACGGAGGCCATTGTTTCATTGGTTTTAACATCCGAAGGTGACATAGAAGCATCCTCGAGATCACTAGTAGAATCATCGCTTGGTAGAAAGGTGTAATAGTCTTCTGTGTCGACGCTATAAGCAGAGAATGGCATGTCACTGGCACTGTGACCTGGAACAGATACCAAAAAATATAAATTCAATAAATGATACACAAAGAAATTGTGACGATTTATATATCGACTTTCTCTTGTAAAAATTAGTTTAAAATTGCTATGCTTAGAAGCATTATTGAAAGAAATTTAGCATGCGATTGACTATTAACGCCGGAGATACGTCGTCAAATTCTCATCAACCTCTCCATCCGAAAATGCTTCTAACATTTGACGTTTACAAATGATACTCACATTGCATAAATATTCGCTTGAAGTTTGTATCAACTTGAAAAGAGCCTTCATTGCACACTCAATTGCTTCAGTACTGCATCTACGAAGATTTTCGTTTCGCCGTGAGGCAATAATTTGAAAGGGTTCCTTCTCGCCATGAAGCCGCCTTGCTTATATGTAGAGATTAAGACGAATTTCCTCTCGCGTTCATCATGATGCACTGGAAGACGCTTTGTCATGATAAGAACACATTATTCAAAGACTCATTTTGCTGTTTTTCGAATGCTCGAGTTATACCATCGACCACAAGATTTATGGTTGATATGTTTGAGTAAGAAAGGTAAAACTAATGACCCTGACCTACTGTCCAACCTCGACGGCACAAAGTATATTGATCTTAACAGTAGTCATTGCCGCCCGCGAGAACTTTCTTTGCCCACAGAACCGAGATACACCATCGACGCGATAGAAGAACACGAGGACGAGTCAGCATGAGCTAAATCAAGCAACTTAGCAACGACACCCATGTCATACGCGCGAAGTGACATTATTACCTGATGATCGCATCAGCGACCTCTAAGCGAGCCTGCTCGAGGCGCTCGCTCACAATATGTAGCTGGAGGCGGGTGGGTGTTGCAGCGGCAATTGCGCGTGTAGATGATCTTGAACGGGACATCACAAATGAGCGGAAGCTGTGTCAGTCTTTGAAGAAGCAGTCCCGAAAAACTCGATTAAAGCAACAAAAGAGTGACTTATTGCGAGACACTTGTTCAAAATTTAAGCAGAGCGAGAGCGACTTGCGATTTGTCGGAGCAAGCAAATCTCCAGTTCATTTTCAGATATCGTCATAAAGTATTCGAACGGCTCGATAAAGTCCAGGATTAGAGCAAAGTGCTGTTGACACGCATCACTAGGACATCTGGGCAACCCGAGGACCGACACAGTCTTCCATCGACAAAGAACATCGGTTATTTCTAGCTCGCGAAGAAAACGATAAACTTGACAGCATTGAGATAGCCACATTCGAAATTTACCCTGGCCAGCGATCATGCATTGATCGCATTAATAGGGCAAGATTTTCGGCGAGTCCTGGTGCTAATGGCGTGGATATCCGTCAAACGGCCAAAACGCAAGCGCTTGAACTCATTTCGAATCAAACGGATCAGTTCATAACTCCTCTCTGTGATCCCCTGCTTAAAACTCATGTTGTATTGCTAGGTTAGTAGGAGATCAAATTAATGCGCTACTTTTCTTGCGCTTCGACAGCGAAAAACGTTGGAGTACTTCTCCGCTCATTAGCATGAGCCAATCTAGATCGCTTTCACCACAAGCACAACTGACACCTTCGAAATCCCAGACAGGAAGCGAACAAGGACTAGAGCAACGCATGTGCTTAACTTCGCTGTGCATTGGCGCTGCTACCGCAGCTAAATCACAAATTCTTTGTAGGACTATTTTTGCAATATTAACGGGAAATCACTATCGCTATTAGAGAATAACACAGCCGACATCAATTTTGTAACCCAAAATTCTATCATTGGCGAGTATAATCATGTGTAAACCAGTCCTAGGTGTGTGATCAGCCCTTTCCACAGTGAAGACGTTTCTCTTCGGCGCGAATGCACGTTCAGAAGGCACTGACGTGGCATCACAATCTAGCCATTTCCTTGCTAGCTTACTGATGACGGAAAACGCCGTCGATTTTTCGCTCTATTAGTGCAGCTTACAGGAAGCGTAAGTTAGGTCACCGATCTTTTGTTCTGTATTTAGAAAAGTACAAGTTAGCAAATCGCAATCCGCTTACTCCAGAAGTAATTATTGCCTTAACCCAAGGCTAATTACTCTTCCGTTTAAAATTCAAAACCGATTTTTAATTATTTTTATCTGCGGCAGCCTAATTTTAAATGTTTAGATTTTCCTAAATATATATAGTAAAATCTAAATACATGCATAACTACTGGCTACCTAGCCACATACCGTATACTTGTTTAAATGCAGTCACACCATGCCCATCTGTTGTGACATACACCCCTGTTACCAGGGTACGTGTAACCCCGTTACAACTAGTCCAGAAGACGGTGCCTTGGCTTGTCCTTCATAATATAATACGAAGGTACCTCGATGCCGCACCCCCCGAATAGTTGGAACCTCTCCAGATCCTCGTATGCCTTCTCAACAGGTTGTTCTCTCTTTTCAAATAATGATCATTGAGCTCACCGAAAACACTTGCTCTTACGTGAATCGGGAGGAAGAATCTTGAAAGCCCAATGGTAAAATGTGCTGACGTCGCAGAGCCGAGCACTTTTTTTTGCTCGATCGTGGCCAAGGCGTTTGTCAAGCGATCTCCGGTCTGTTCATTTTCCTGTTTAAGCACATAGCTCGTGTTGATGAGTCTAGGATCCAGGAGAGGAAGCTACATTAGATCGCGAATTGTCCCGCGGATGGCTTCCTTAGGTAATCTTGACAAACATCCTTCAAATCGCAAAGATCTTGTCCGCAAAATGGCTCATCTTCTACATGCGCGTAATCTTCTATATATACATTTTCGTCTTGCAGGTATCTCCTGACCATCCGCAAGTATGAGAAAGCGTGCACAAACGTCGATTAGTTCTCACCACTAAGTCGCTGTGTATTTTAGCTGGTGGGGTCGATAATCGTAGCAGCCACCGTGCGTAGAACCAGCCTTCTCGCCTCAACGGCTCTCTTATCAGCAAGTCTGAGAGCTCTGTCATTCTAAAAGACGTTGCTAGATGAGTGAAGAAGGCATTCCAACAATCTTGATAGATTTGAAGCGCTTGATCATGGCGTGTATGCTACTCCATTGTCAGGCAGTCAAAACCAGCGATATAATTGGGGTGTACTTTGCGTCTTGTATGCTCTTGAGTCGATGTTTGATTTTGATGATCGATGGTTATGGGTAGTTACTCTGCAAAATCTTGCTCACTTCAGTCAAATCTAGTCGAGGGCCTTCTTGGCTGATACCAATGCCATTTTTGAGATGTGCTTATCAATCTACTGACGTACAACATCACGAAGATGCTGCGTTGATGTTATTAGGCTTGAAATCTTCGTCGAGGTTATTTATATTCAACTTCAATTAGCTATGAGCACTGCGGTCGGTTCAGATATCGGCTCTTAGGAAATACTAATCGGCGTTGCGGGTCAGGTCTATGCGCATGTTTTTCGCGTTGTCGATAATGATATATCAACTCTGTGACTGACCAGAGAGAGTATTCTAGATACCATTCAAGTCGCCGAGGTCACACGACCTAAGGCTCATCGTATTTGACAATCTAAAATGGCCGCATTCGCCGGGCGATCCACTCTGCGAGAGCTGTACGAATTTGTCGCTTCTCATCCACTGTGAGATCGCACGATGTCTTGGACGGCGATGACCCATGATACTTTTTGAATCGCTTCAGTTCAGGGCTGAGAGTCGCGGAAGAATTTACCAGCCGGCAATACCTCGATTTGATGTGGTATTACTTCCGGGGTTGTAGTCGAATACGATATCGCAATCAAAACAGACGGCCGATTTTTTCACAGATGCAGCATTGAATTTCTTGAGGTATATAAGCTTACTATGGTTTGCGGTCAGTCGGAGATATTGTCAGAACTCTGATTTTTGCTTAATTCTCATCTCAAAAGAGGCTAATGAGTGAGCTGTGCTGAGTGACGGAGCCGTTCGACTTCATATCTGCGCTTCTTCTTCATTGCCGTATCAGCCTCAGAGCAGAAGCGAGCAGTACATATAAAGCATACAAGACAGCGATTATGAGCTGCTTCCTCTGGCGAGACAGATACCGGTGCGTCGTTGGGATCGGTCGATTTATCATTATTCGTCGGACGGATGCCGACACGTGCGGTCGCGCGTTCCGAAACAAAACTCTTTGTAATGGACAAGGTATCACAAATGTATTGGTTTTACGCCGCTACTTTGAATGGATGCATTGGATAGTTCGTGAGCGTGATTAAACTTTAAAAATCGCTTGAGCCACGTATGATTGGGATAAGGTCAAACTCCCCCCCCGACACGGGGATTGAGGCTGCGGTCGGATCTGAACAAACCCCGATTTTGACGCTACTTGTAACTATCACATGTTTCTGGACCATTTTTTGGTTAGCCAGAAATTTATGAACAATCAGGAAATTATGTTGGTTAAAAAAGTTTGGCTAATGCAAGGCTGTCTGTCTATCAGTAGAAAACGCTTTAGAAGCTTCACCAACAGTCTATCGAAATACCATTCGTTTGTTTTTATACGTATTTCCCTGGGGTGTGACGTGACTATTGGCTGGTAAATATAAATATAAATTGTGCCGTATAACACAGAATAAACCCGTAAGTGAATTACTTTTATATATATATGTATCATCTATGGTTGTTTATCGACGGAATAGTGCGTACAATTATGGTAACATAAGAATCGGTGATTTCTACCTTAGTGGAGAATTCTTGTATCAAACACCCGAGATTTCGTTGTTCTCAAAAGTAAAATCGCATTCTTGCACGAAATTCAGAATTTATTTTAGTCTTACAGCTATTTCGCTTAGGAAAATATTGCACCAAACACATTGTCAGACCAAACTATTAAGATACTCGAAAATCTGACTTATCTTTTGAGTTCATGGTGCTTATCCAAATCTGTCAAATTATAAGTGAAAACAAATACCTCATGAGTTTACGCTTAATCAAGTACGCGTATGCTTTGCTGAGCATACTAAGCCCATCAGGTTTCCATTTATAGCAAATTCAAGACGCCAACACCACTAAGATACACAGCTGATACATGCTGTATACTTCATACTCTTGATCGACTGTAATATCGTATGAAAAATGATCGAAAATCATAATGTCAGCATCATGAGCATCTGTTTAAAATGGATAAGCTATCGACAGATCTATCATTGACGACAGACGAACTTTTGGTCGAGCAAAGCATACATACAGTTTGAGACAAGGAAGAAGTAGGACGTTACCAGCCATTCTCTTTTTTACACGACGGTAATGGCATTGAATAAATTGACTTGACTATTATGAAAGCTATATAAAAAGTGACACAGTATAATAACTTTTCTGTTTTAGTTACACCCGACTCGTTTCCCGAAGTTTGAGCAATGCTGCTCGAAGGGATTGGGCTCAGGTGTAAAGAAAGCAAGCTTTGTACTTGATACTTTAGCGTTTGGTTGGCGCGCGACAAAACGTTCTCTTAGCTTGGTAAGTGCGACCTGTTCGCAACCTTCACGGCTATCCCATTGAATACTGTCCTTTATGATACAGAATAGCAGACGTCATCTATACTGCTAGTTACCCCGAGTCTTTGGAACAGTAGGTTCAGAACAAGGTTCGCAGCTGCACCCTCAACACAGACCAAAATGTCAAGTTATTCCTGCCAGCTGTAAACTTCCGAGGCGCCGAAGTATGACCTCGAATCCTCATGATTTCTTGGTCCGAGAATATCTCTTATATTATCAGACTCTCATCACGGCATGAGGAGGTATCCGTTCCGAACAAAAAAGACCATCACTTGACCATCAAATAATCGGTGGAGGACGATAGTCTTGTGGTCTTATGGCTGATTCGCGGAAACTTTTTTAGTTGACCGCGCTGGATGGTTGCATTATTCATCTTGCGGATGCACTCGTTGAGCTGTGCAATCAGATCGACATCCATGAGGTTCCCGAAGCGACAAAGAATTTAAAATGCTGCAGGTAGCCCAACCACAGATATGGATAAGGCGCTATTTCTTCCCATCAGAAAATTTCGCATCCGAATGGCTCGCAAGAGCGGTCCATGGTATGACTATAGTAAGCCAATGTAGGACGCAGGATTTGTGTGTATTTTTTTGTAACTTTGGAGTGAATCTTGGTCTGGCTGGACGCAGTATGTGTTGATAGGTTAAATACACTATATACGCAGGGAGCTTACACTATCTGATCAGATTTTTCAACTGCTACAATTTTGTCGGATTCAGCATCTTTCTGGTGCCCCTGCACATCGTTGTTCTCAGTCATATCGTCGCGCACTCTACATTGACGCTCAAACTCTCCTATGTGAAATCCTCATTTTGCTATGAAGAGAAGCTATGCTGATACTGCAAGTTAACAAATAAAGAGAACCCTTCTTACCAAGGCCAAAGTCAATCTGTGGAGATGTTAAGCGGGCAAGGGAATTCGCCCAGCCACTAAATAAAGAATGATGTTAAGCCTGTAAGAGCCTGCGCGGCGTTATTTTTCGGCACTTTAATCGGCAGAGCTTGTTTCTTTAACCCCATGGTTGCTCCACGCAAGTGCTGTAAAAGATGTTCCCCGGCCCATGGTTAGCGCGCTCCATCGTTGTGCGCAATTTACTGCGGACTCATTGAGCAATAACTTTTTGTCAGCACTACATTTTTTGCAAGCGCAATGGGCTTTTGTGTAAAGTAATTGAGCTCTTGGCAGTGCGCAAAGATGCTACACATGGAGTATAGACGGGGACTGACGAGGACGCGGCGCTCTTAGCTTATTTATTTTTGATCTCATATAAGACCGTTTACAAACGCACATAGATCGGTTTCGTGAGCTTTAACCAGGAGCGGACCCGAGGGCCTGAATGAAGTTAAGTCTATAGTTTGATTCATAGTGACGTATAACTATACTTGGACTAATACTACGTATAAAAATTTTACAATCGCTCATACTGATACTGTCTTTACTACTTGTCGTGGAGCTATTAGCTCAAATGAACTCCAAACCGCTCCTAAACAGGATTCCGCCAACTTTATAAATACCAATCTTTCGGTGCTTATGCACAATAGTGTAATGCGAATTTCTTACAATTGTATAGTTACAATTGTGCCAAAAGTCTAAGGCGTATGTACAAAATAGCACACTACTTATCCCGTTCAGAAACCAGATCGAATATGTGAGGAGTGTACCTCTATGTCAACCACTCTCATTGCACGTCAGCGCGGAGCTTCATGTCAACATATTGCAGGGATAAGTTTGTACTGATTTTTTGTGTGCCTTAACCTAAAACCTTTAGGGCTATACACATTATTGTAATTATTACCGTTGGACTAGCCTCACGCAACGACAGGTAGTCCAACATTTTGGAGTCTTTCCTTACAGATGACACCATCGTCGAACTTGCGACATGTGCTAATAAAGGGCTAACGGGTTTGCTGTAAATCGTGCACAGATGAAGCTTTGAATCGGCGCTGACTAACGCAGTAAAGATGGAATCACCAGGCACCACTCAGGTAATGGACATATCTAATTTAGTACTAAGTATTTAAACAAAGGGTTTCAAATTTATTTAACCACCTCCACCGTTGATAAATAGCATCAACCTCGAGTTCCTAGATTGTGATTTTACCGATCCTCAAGTTCGGTATTGCAGCCTGCCCCGTTGATATTGTGCTCTTCATACTCAAGGCAGTACCGGTAATTGATAGCAGTTCAGCACACCAACCAGTTACAGTGGAACCTTTATGTGTGTCTCAGTACTTTCATACCACGAAGGCGTTAACATTAGACAGCAATCTAGAAAGCCAGTTTCAGCTGTAACCATTTCTAGATACGGAAAGCAATGCAAAATTGCATATAGTCGCGCCCAAATACTGTTAATATGTTTACAATCAAAGCAATTTGAAATTCTCCTTTTGTTGATACAAAGAATAATGTTTGCCATCAATGAAATCTATTGCATTTGTGTGGACTGCTGTCATTGGCATTTCGTTCTGTTTATCACGTATGATACAACTGCAGACGACGCGAACGCATGTCCCGTACATAAGGAGCTTTTTCTTTTCCATTAAAATTTCGCTTTGAAACTAACATATGAAAATTTTGGACTGTACTGTAAATTCAATTTTCTAAAGCTGACAAACGAGTTTAACGACCTTGAAAGTTCTAAATTGTTTATATGAAACACTCCCTTCAAACAGGGAATAAGGATAGGAGGGTACGGAATAGCAGATATCTACATGCATCGAATGGGTTTCTTAGGATCTTACATTCTCGACGGGAACATTCCTCTCGCATCCAAGTAGTAGATAGCTTTTATTTGCAGATTTGTTGCCTTTATCCTTGATCCTGATCCTGAACACACTTGAACTACTTGTAAAAGCAAATTTGACGATTCCTCTTACTGTCCCAGCCTTTTCTGATACTCATCGCGTCGACGTTTCAATTTTATGACGTCGACTCCCGCCAAAACAGTTAAGCAACGCCTAGTATTCATTTTCGAGGGAAATGCTCACAACCTGACCTTCATTCATCACTCTACTATTTGCAGAAGTCCGCAATCAACTGAAGTGTTGTCCATTACGTAAAAAGAATTTGCGCATAGGGCATCCCGAAGGGAGCACTTAGTGAGGCGATCGGAGGGTGTGCGTGCGAGAAAGTGGTGTCTACTAAGATAGTGGCTCGTAGGCCAGTGTCAATTCGTTCATCATCACCTTGACTTTACGGGCATTTTATCATTAGTTGACGACCTTGTCTGTGGCAATCGCGCCACGTAATTCGAAGCTGCCAAGACGTGCCCATGCAAAACACTTTCGCCTATGGCCTCGCAAAAAATGGGGTTAACGGGCTTCCTGGCGTACGGCGGGCAGCCACCGTCTCCCAAGTCGGCGGACGCTTTTCGTCGCCCAGCTCCCCATTGAACGCAGAGAGCGGCTCAGTCGGTAGCGATATCACGTACTGTGATATCGTGATTACGTCACCAACTTCACTGGCTGCTTCAATCGCTGCCAGACCGCGTTTAACTCCATCATTCGCAGACTTGAACAGTAATCAATCAACTGTACCGGCTGATGGCCTCGCATCAGTGATCACGAAGACATTTGTTGCATCACAGAGAGATGATGAGTTGCATCTGAGTAAGCGAGGCTCCTTAGTGGACAAAACAAACCCGTTTATTGGGTACTTTCAAATAGGGGCAGAAGAGGATGATGCGGGAGTGACAGGAAACATACCAGCTGGACCCACAACTCAAACATCGCCAATACCATCGCCATCCCCAGCTCCTGTGTGTCGTGCGCCACTTCGTACCCAGAGCAGTGCAACGCTATCGTCTATGTCATCCTTTTACCCGTCTGCATTTCTCACGCCGCAGAAAACCGGTAGGGATTGGATTAGCTCCCGAAAAAGTCGCCTCCCCACATTCTTTAAGCATCGAGATGCAAAGGGGGTGACGTACCAACAGCAAACTCAATCCAATAAATCGAAGCGTGCGGCGTTTCTGGATGTATTGAAATGGAAATCACCAGTGTTAGCCTTGCAGGTCTCAACAGATGGCAGCCAAAAGGATCCAAATCATTCCAAAAGTGCATCTTTCAAGCGGACAGTTTCCCTTCCTGCAGCTATGTCGAGCAAGGCAAATCCTGTTCCATTACCTCCTCTTATGCCTGTATCAACGGAGACGGGAAGTACTAGCACTGCGTCGAGCTCTAAAACTGACACCACTTGCGCTTCGAATTCTCGTTTTGAGCAGGATTTTGAAGTCGTGGGCTCTCTTGGTGAAGGAGGCCAAGGCCTTGTATATAAGGTGCGCAGCAAAGTCGACGGGTGCTATTACGCGATTAAAAAAGTTGTTTTACCTCGCGCCACCGAGCTTGATGCAAACCGTGCGGAACATCAGGCTTTACGTGAAGTTCGATTAATGGCATCAATGGCTCCACATGCAAATGTGGTGCGCTATCATACCGCTTGGACAGAGTTTGAGACTTGTTCACCGGTCAAGACTGTATCGACAGAAAGTGTGTGCGGCTCTGACGTACCATTGAATGGTAGTGATTGCTGTCCTCAAGGTCTTCAACGACAACAATTGGCATTATTGGATGAGGAAGCCGAGCTGCGGATGAGCAATCTTCAGACTACAGATCAGTCGTTCTCACTTAATTATTCGTCGGGCTCACTAAAATTTGACGAGTATTCCACTCCAGGGTTCACCTTTGACGATGATGTTGAACTCGATAACTCAGTAGGCTTGTGTGTTGACGATGACGCAGCATTTGAAAGACGGGATGAATCGATAACCAACGAGTGCATCGATTCTGGTGCTTTTTCAGCCCAACCAGCGGTCATGAAAGCACAGGTAATTTTGTACATTCAGATGGAATTGTGTGGCACGGTTGTGGATCCGATGCCTTTACCCTCGACAACCACCGACCAAGAGTCAATCAATCGTATTTTGTATGATTTGAAGTCGCCACGACAAGATCGACAGCAGCTCGGCGACGAATCGTACACGAATTTGGGAGCGTGGCTTCGTGCATCTTTAGATGAGCGGTCGGCATGGTCTAACTCGTCTGAAATTCACAACCGAGGACTTAGGCTTTTTCTTAGCGCTGCTCAAGGCGTTGCCCACATGCATTCCTACGGCGTTATCCACCGAGACCTAAAGCCGGATAATATCTTTATTCACGGTGATGAAGCTAAGATTGGTGATTTTGGTCTGTCGACATCTATTTTTGCCGACAGCTTCTCAGATGGAAATATGTCGCCTCGCGAGTATCTACGAGAGCTTGGACTATGCGATAGCGATCACACAACTGCCCTCGGTACATTTACATATGCTTCTCCTGAACAGCTGGGTTATCGCTTCGGCAGTACCAACGTGTTGAAAAACGCCGCAACTCGATTAAAAAGTGCGAAATACTCGATAAAGTCGGACATTTTTGCCCTGGGTGTGATATTATTGGAGCTCTGCTGCCCATTTAGCACAATGATGGAACGTTCGCAGGTCCTGACAGCCGTGCGTCATGGTGTTGTGCCCCATAAAGCACGACAAAATTTTGCAATGGAGATGGTGTTGGTTTTGCGCATGACGTCAATTGACCCGAGGGACAGACCAACAAGTGAAGAGGTGTGTGCTCAAATACGCAAAATATTGGCAACGAATAGTACTGCGGTCACGCCAGCGTCAGCTCTTGAGGAATTGCGTGAATTACAGGCAAGGCTCTCTGCTACCGTCCGCCAAATGCGGGATCGCTCAAAAGCTACACTCCAGCTTGAAGCATTGATTTTAGAGCTAAACGACAAGGTCCAGAATGTCGGTATGGCTATTGCCTAAGGGGTAATATGGAGAATAGTGCGATGGTTAATCATCGAAATCCGTACAATAAGCACAAATAATATTTTTGTAAATTCAAGTACATAATCTTACTTTAAAACACATTTTTTTAATCCAAGTTTTGATACCAAAGTCTATACTTCGTGGATTAATATTTATCCTACAACTACATATGTTTTGATGCACCAATTCACATCCTTAATGATACGTCATCGCACCACCGCTCGTCTTTATCGTCGCGGCAGCTAGAGAAAAGTATGAATCGATCATTTCCCGCAAATTCATTTTTATTCCTAATTTACCATTAGAATTGCATTTACCGCTCGTCGTGGAGAAGAAACATGCGAAATCGTAACAGAAATGCAATCCATACGGCCTCAAAGATTGTGTGCACCCCACTCAAAAAAATTTGGACCAGAAGAACCAATTTTGTTTCAGAAGCAAATGGTCCATATTTTGCAAATATGCTCTTACACATACTGTGTCAACAGTTGGCAGCGCAATCACGAGCAGGCTTAATTTCGCATCACTTGATACATCTTTTTATGAAATTCTGAAGAAAATGATAAATTACAGAAAACTAATTTTCACTCTTACTTCTTCATATTTCGAAACAAATGATGGAGCATTGCAAATGCGAAGTTTTTTTAATGTCAAAGTTATTTTTGACTCGCAACTAGTAATGGACCTTATTGATGCTAATGATATATCGTAACTGAGCTGCATCCTTCTCCAAATGACACACATATGTTGTTTGATGTAATGAAACACGCGCCACACTTGAAATGTTGAATTTTTAGCATCAACAATTTATACTTATAATGTAGTTTATTTAGATGTTGCTGCGAATATAATTAAGTTTAATTCCACCTTATCTTTGGTACCAAGAATCATCGTACGTGAATGCAGTTAGAAATGGACCCACGCTTCCTTAGGCAAGATGCATCGCACCACTTGACACAATATCAAACTATATATAGCGAAACGATCAAATAATGCGCTACGAGCAGTGAGAATGTGAAAAGCAGTAGAATACCAATGGCAAAGGTTTAGTTTAAAACGACTGCATTGGATATTTTCGCAAATGCACGCATAGCTTTTTTTATTTTGTATTTTTACTGAAATTGAGCACACTCAGCATCACCCAAGTGCTTCCTGACCTACGATAACAGAGCAATTTCGAAATTTATAAGAGAATTCCTTGCTGCCGTAGACAACAGTTATATAAGTCCTTTTGACAGGCAATGACATGGCAACCAGTGATCAATCGTAATATGTGATAATTAAATCGGTTGAACATTTGTGATTGAGGAATGAAGATATTTGAGGATTATTTCAAGCTCGCGTTTGCCCGCCGCCTTTACAGAAGCACGAAGGTTGTCATGACTGCAACTAGTCTAGGACGATATACTCTTCGAACGTCGTGTTTTAGAGAGACACACAATACGAGTTATTGATTTTTGTATCGGAATCATCATTTAGAAGAAATGTGAGCATTTAGAGATTTCTTCGCGACGTTTTGCACAACTGAGCAATGACTTACATAATGTATAAAATATCATAAGAATGTGTTTTGAGAGCGATTTACTCTTGAGCAGATTATAATAACTAACATTTGATGGGCAAAAAGGGTCGACAAGGTCCTGCTAAGGGCAAGCCAACCTCTGCCGGTGGAAACAAAAAGGCTAAACAAAAGCGTAATACCCAGCAGATTGTCCATGTGTCGAAATCGCGACAAACCTTCGGCAAGGGCAAGACCAATCATAAAGCAAATAGTTTTGATACACCCACCGAGCGATTGGCCAAGATGCGCCGTAAGATTGACGGTGGCAAGTTCCGCATGCTGAATGAGCAGCTGTACACGACAACAGGAACGGAAGCTTATTCCACATACCAACAAGATCCTGAACTCTTTGATGTGTATCATCAAGGCTTTCGGGAGATGGCGAACAAGTGGCCCGCAAATCCGCTGGACACTTTTATCGAATATGTCAGGTATTTGTCCTGATTTTCGGTAAATATTGATATCGAATGACCATTTGTGAGACTGTAGACATCATCCAGAAGCGGTAGTTGCTGATTTTGGCTGTGGAGATGCCAGACTGGCTGAAAGTGTACCAAATAAGGTGCACTCATTCGATTTGGTGTCAAGAAAACCAATCGTGACGGCGTGTAATATTGCCGCTGTACGTGCTTACTATTCTTAAGAGTCAGAACGCAATGATCGATATTTTTTTCTTCATACAGGTTCCTCTAGAGAAAAATAGTGTGGACATTGCCATCTACTGTTTGGCGCTTATGGGAACAAGTATTCGTGAGTATTTACTTGAAGTGCACCGTGTGCTGCGTCCTAAAGGTGTGCTGAAGGTCGCTGAAGTCAAAAGCCGCTTTGAAACCGAGTCACTAGGAGGAATCAATGGATTTGTCCAGGCAATGCGTAAAATGGGCTTTGACTGCAGGCACAATGACGATCGCAATAAAATGTTTGTACTCTTTGAGTTTGTTAAATCGTCGCGCACGCCACAGGACATTGAGCCGATCGAGTTGAAAGCGTGTGAATACAAGCGCAGATAGAAAAGATTGTCAATTGCGAGTAAAAGTATGCATATAAAGCAATTATTTGCACAATGCCCAAGGAATGTATTTCCAACAGCCTCATTAAAGTAGCAATAAATATCGTGCAACACAATATATTGTATAAATCGTGCACTTTGAATTAAAATAATCACTTAACATACCACAGACATGAAAAATAAGAGTAGAGTAAAATAATGAGATGGGTAACTAAAGTTGGTTCTTTAAAAGCTTAAGTCTCAAGCGATCCGTACGTGTGTCCCGCCGGATCAATACGTCGCCGCGATTCAGCGTCAGCCAGTGGTTGGTACTCGGTCATGAACTCACGTCTCACACGGTCGCGATCATTGGCGTTAGGCGTCCGACGTGCAATTTCAGCCGCTTTCATAGCATTGCGCGTGATTAATGGTGAACGTGAGAACGCGGATGTAGTGAGTGCTTCTGGGGTACGAATCAAAGTCATTGCTTCATCCAGCGGTTCCAAGTAGACGAATCCAGGTAGACGCAAAGTGCCGTTGTAGACTGCCGTACCCAATAATAACGTCAACATCCCCACAAGCTGCAACCAACTCCAGATCGTCCAGCGTTCACCGAAATCTCCATGCGTAATGACGTAAAACAGTATCAAATCGGCTGCCCATACGGTAATTGGACGGAAATTATCCAAAATCGCATGCCAAATCGAGTTGAGCAAATATGTAACCGAGACAGCAAAGACGTTGTATCCTAGAATCACGAGCAAATAGATAAGGACGACCACTTGAGCCAGTCCACTGTTCACGAGCATCTCATACGCATCGTCAAATCTCTCGTTTGAGCCTGAATCGTTGCCAGGAATCAAATATGCAATGGGGTACACAACGAACGACGTCAGTATCAAGCCCCACACGCCTTCCATACCCACAACTACTAGAGGAGGTGCACTGTCAACTTCATCCATAAGTTTTTCTTCAAAAACGTACTGCACAGCCTGAATTGCGCAGCTTAAAACGACCATTAATACCCCAAATGCTGGATGCTGATCAGTCGAGTTATTTTCTTGGCTATCAGAGTCTGCTAGGCTCGTAGCACCCACCATCAATGCTGCGAGCATATTAAGAGCAATGCCAATCCACATGTAACTGCGTAACCGATCTTTCAGAACAAATACCTTAAGTAATGCCACAAAGACAATAACGGTGCATTTCATAAGCTGAAACACGCTGACTGTGACATATAGAAGACCAAGATTGGCAACAAACGTGGCAATCAGGTCGAAAGCTGCTGGAAATGCTAGCAAATAATACATTTTCCGTGGAATTCGGAAACGGTATTTCACTAAAGCAAACGTTTGTGCATGAGATTCACATATTTTCAATAAAAATCATGTGTGTCACTTACTACCATGACGATTATTTCGACGCCACTGTTGCTCGACGTAGTAATGATATGCCCAGTGAATAGGCAGTGCAAATACCATGGCTAGGAACATAAGCCAGGTTTGAAAAATGGGCTTTTCAAACTTTTTCACTTCTCCATCAAGGCCAATTGAATCCACACCATACAAAATCTGTATCCGATTGCAATGTCATTAAATTGGTTTGAAAGCTCATTTATACAAATACACACCTTGCCAGTTCTGATCAATAGAAAAGACAGTTGAAGAAAGGAAACAATGAATATCAAGAACTCAGTTGGTGAAGAAATTATTAAAGTAACGTACAAAGTAGTGCCCGTTCCAGTGACGAGTCCCATGCTAAAGACGATAGCTTCTCGTGAGCCGCACGACATGGTTACTCGAAGTCAACCGCCTTGCGATCCGTGACGGTGAAAATGACTATGAGGCGTAAGTAGTAAATGTAAAAAAAGATATCGCAAAATTTACTTAGTTTCAACCAATCGACACAGGTATTCAAAGCAGTATCGAGTGTAGATTGGTTGGAAGGATGACCGCTTTTTAGAACCCTAAAACGAGTGGTGGAAAAAGGTGGGACTGCAACACTTATGGAACAGTATGCTACGTTAAGCTGAAGATACATTAGAAAGCTGATGAGACTATTGTATGACAAAAAACATGTTATGATTAACATTTACGACTTTACAGTAATATTTGTGATATAATCCCAGCTTTCGGTTTGCATATATAATAGTTACTACTTAGGAGTAATGTGGTACTGTACAACAAGTAGACCAACGTAATCACAACGCGCATCTGTAACGGGGTACGTGATGTACAATACGTGTTGTATTGTGCAGAGCACGTACGCCGTCGATGTTGCGTACGTCTACATTTGTGCAACTCGAACGGACCAACTACTGGTTTTGATAAGGACGATGGCACTTCATATCGAAAGGGTTACGTAGGCTTAGCGTCACGTCAAGCTGTACATTTGATTATATTATAAAACAGAGTAACACAAGTATAAATAATGTTAGACCAAATCTCAAATATATATCACGATATAAATGTGAGTGCAAACAACATACTTTGTTACTTTCGGTTCCGCTCATGGTTGGGGCGCATAAAACCATCCTCTGTGCAAAAACTTATCAGACGTATTGAGTCAGACTTCCTTCCCAGCAATTTGTTGCACGCCCCCTTTTCAATTCGCAAGTACAATGGATGAGGACTTGTAGCACAGAAAAATGCGAAGCTTTGATCATGGGCAGGAGGTCGCCGCACACTCAGCACAGATGAGACTCTCAACAAAGACGAGTTATCAAACGCAACGAGATTGACCCTTTACGCACAAGCCATTACCTAATGTAACTACGTCTATAGTTTACTCAACGGCTTCAAGAGGTAGGCAGCCAAATAATACTGCACTAGATGCACGGTACAGTTTCCTTGTCGTGATGACTAGTCAAAGTGCAAAAGGTGGAGACAATATTGGCATACGCAGGCGATCTACAACGTCCGAGGTAAAAATAATAATAATGCTCCCTTAGCTGCTGAGCAACGACATGATACTTGTAGCTATTATATCTGTGGCGGTAACAAATTTCAAAGCGATGCGAGCCTGCTTCACTCTCGGTTGAGAAGTATTATGGGTCGAGTTATTTGGGATGGCCGGCCGGCGGGCCTCAAGCGGAGACTTGTCAAATTTAAATGGTGCCTGGTGGTCTGCTAAGAAAGGGTTGAGATTTACTATACTCCACGGAGGTCAAGGTTACTGAAAATCATTTCTCAAAACGCAACTCTCTCTAACAGAGGAAGTGCACACAGCCCAAAGTTTACTAATATCAACATTCCGGGCTTTGTGAGCTGCGGAACGATCCAATAGATTTATGATCGTCAATCGAATTGTGATTAGCAAAAAATTGACAAACACGCCTGCATTTAAGATGCCAAATACGGAAATGATTTTTGCGCGCCTTGCGACAGGAAAATGTGGACGTTTTTGTAGGGTTTAAAGCCTTTGACAGCGTGGAATTCTCTCTATATTCGTAGTTTGACCTCGTTTGAGATATGCCGTGGCTTGGACACTATGATCCGTTGCCGGCACCACGCACTTCTCTCCCAATGATATTCTGATGGATCATGCAGCAATCTCTGATAGAAAGCAAAAGAGCTTTTGGCGCGGGCATCAGCTGCCATAATTTCTATAAAGATGTAGAATTGTCCAAATTGATGAGCCACGATATTACTAAGGGTATTAGGCTAAAACCCGAATTCAGAAATAATGGTGAATTCGGCATCTAGCTAAGGCGGTAACTAGTGACCGTATGTCGCGGTCTCAGGTGTTAATTAAGGGTGGGCCGGTAATTTATCAGTGAAACTGATCCACAAACATATATTTGGTGGGACTTGTAAAGGGGGCAGTGTTTCGCGGTCTTCGCAATTTATTTCCGCAGACGCTGCTGAGAGCGCCTTAGATGCACAGTCTCTAGAAAAAGTCAGGTAGACAGGAGACCGTAAATCATGGAATAAAGACCGATCCGATGTAATTTAGGATTCTCTTTACTTGCCGCGTTGTGACGGTCCTACTAAGATCAGCACAAAATTGCGGGCCGATATGATCCACGGATTTGCGGCAAGAATGCTCATTCAAACATTAATGAAGTTATCGGGGCAGGCTTGTGATATGCAAGCTTCACTTATGTTCCATTCAGTCTTATCAGGCATGAAGAGATTCCTTTCTGGGATATGTGCACGCAATTTCAAGATTTATAATTCATCGAATTGGTGGGGTTAGTACCGGAGCTGAGCTCATCATCCATCAGGGACAAGACTATAATTTGTAACTCTGGCAGACCATTGAGTTTAGGAAGTAGGACGACCCTTCTAAACAACATGCTAATCCCTATATTTTTTGTTACAGGAATATCAAAATATTGTGATAATCGACCTACCATGTGTGTGGCCATTGGTTCGGATAGTGCATCATGATAATAATGACGTTTATGAGGCCAAATCAAATGTGTCCTTTCACGTCAGCGATTTTTCAAGGAGAAATGTGGAAAGTCACAGACATTGTTGTTTATAAATTGATAAAGCGGTTTTGATGATAGCAAGTAAATCTCCCGCCGATTTTTTGTGTTAGAGAAGCCAACGCAAGTGGCGAATTGTGCATGGTTAAACTAAGCTATCTGGAACTACTATTTCCGCGCAATCGTCGATTCCTGGGGAGGATGCAATGCAAAATACGCATGACCAGTTGCACTTGGATAGATTTTTGCACCGAGTTCATGGATATTATCATCTGCTCATGAGGCAATGATAATTTTTTAACTGAAAAGAATACTCCGTGCAGAATATCCTGCTTTGCAGGATCATGGCCTCTAGATTACCTTATGCTGCAGTGACATTTGTCCCCTACGCACAAGTCTATAGTCGTGCAATACACGGATGGTCAGACAGGAAGAGCCACATTAAAACTTGCAAGCAGTCCACAAGTGTGTGCGCTTAAATAAACTAATGAACAGCCCGGGTATGTGTTTCTTTGGCACCGACGAAGTTCTACTTTTGGGAAGCTACACGAAAAAGTATAGTGATTCAAGAACATAGCTTGTTCTTTCTTCAATGACACATCTAATTTTGGTAGCATGATGGGGACTCAAATCAAATAAAATTATCGCACGAAGACATCAATACAAGAACTCCCATGTAAATACATTTCTAACATTCATACCAGTTTGATTCATGTTGTACACATCCTTCAGCTCATACCATGCAACGACTGCTAAAAGCGCAGGAAGGGCAGCATCGATTACTGCCTGATCTGCTGCACCACTCTCACCACGGACTTTGATGCAACGCAGCTTGTTCCTCTCTTGAAAGCGTTGCAACCACCCTTTGAAATATTTGCCTGCATTCTCGCGCAAGCCAAGTCGGTCAGCAAAGAATTTTGCTTTGGATTTGATAAAATCCTCAGTGATGGCTACATGCCTTGTCTGGCATTGAAGCACCCATGTTGCGAAGGCTTTCTCGAAGTGCGGGTGATGTGGAACGCAGGGCCGTTTGTCCGGAAGCTCAACATCTGTCATGACCTCGAGCTCGCGACTCTTTAAAAGGATGCAACAGTTAGCAGATTGAGTTATTCTAATGCCAAACATTTGAGTAGTCCATGTCGCAAGCGCAATTTGACTCATCCACTGATTTTTGGCCTTTTGATTGCAGAACTCGAGCCTGTGCGCATATGTTGAACGTGCTGGTGGCATATTTATTGCAGTTCACCTCTTCGAAAAAATAATTCGCAAAAAACTCTGATGACTAATAATCTCAATTAACTCATAGATATTTTTTACCGCATTGTTAATTACCCGAGGGACGACTGTAGTCATTATAAATATCGAGTCATCTTACCTTCGGCACTTTAGTATAGTAACCTTGAATGTGATTATGTCGTAAATAATTCCTGGGAGGTGCTAAGCTTATAGCACAATTACCTTCTGTGTATAAATGCGGGGTCCAATGCGTGCTTTACCACATTGCATACGAGTCCAAAGTTACACTTCGTTTAAAATAGTGATTATCTTGGCTTGCTCAACTGCTCTGGTTTAGCTGTTCTTGACTCTAACAGTTTTTGTTCCTCAAGTAATATGAATGTGAAATATAATCAGAGCTAAGATTTTTTTTTTAAAGAATTTGTTTTACACATTAAAAACGAGTTTTTATGGCTTGAAGTTAGACTAAACTGAATAATAACAAATATGTATTTTACGATGTTAAATAATATAAATTAATGCCGTGAGGATACATGTTAACAAATCAACCTATATGTCTTACTTGTCTAAGATTTCCACCCCAAGTGTCTTTACTAAGTCACTGCGTCTTCATCAGTACAGTCGTTCTGGTATTGCTGAGTTTTGCACAGTAAAATAGTGATGTAAAGTGTACGTACCCCGTTACACCTTCCCCCGCCAAAATTTGAATCATACTCATTTAATGAAAAATCGAGCAATAGAATACCTTTAGCAAGCACTCACTGCGCGTGGAGTCTCACTCCACCACCGGAGCTTCTTCGTGAAAGTGTCAAAAGAACACGGGAATCAACAAACCATTTACCAGAGTAAAGTCTGTATATGCATGCACTGTGTCATTGTATGCAAACACAATGAAAGGGATAATTTGCTTCAACACCTAGAAATTTCCGCCCTCATCCTTTGGCATTCATCCGCCAATTTGCCATTAGTAAGTATCAACGGACCAGATGGTCAGCAGCAGCCATGGTTCAGACTGATGCTGGAAATAATGCAAGGGATTGGGACAATTCTGAAAAAAATCGCTACCATTCTACTGATAACAGCGAGATAAGCCATTTTGCTGAAACGATCCATAATGATAATTATATCGTGTCACCGTACGCGTCATTTGGAGGACCAAAAATAAATCTCACACTTTTAGCGTGCCAACACTCTGCCGGAATCGGCAGGCTGCCGGGAGCACCGATGCATACAGCAAGCATTTAACACATATGCGCACATATATGTTTACTCACTGATGCATGGCGAGTTTCCAGTGCTTAATGCTTATCAGCTCTATGCCTTTTCATTTTCCTAGTGACCAGCCAAAGAAATATGAATGTCTTCACAGTATTTTGCACTTTCGGTCACAGCTTTAAAAGGCGTTATATCTCTTGTACCAAATCACTATTTGACTTCCTTGTTCCATGATTCCAGAAAAGACCATTGCTTGGCAGCAGATTGGACCTAAACAAGACAAAGTAAGTGTTTGCCTATAATTATGGTCTTTTCAATAAAAAGATTGATAAAAGTATCATTCTTCCTTCTGCATCATAGAGCCGCGTCTCTATTACCTCTGCTGCCAACGCAGATGGGTCAGAGAAGTTCAAGCCATTGTCCATTGGAAACGCCAATAAGCCTCGCTGTTTCAATCGTAAGACATGAAAACGACTGGCTTTCTCATCACAGAAATGAGAAAGCGTGGATGGCCGACTCCCTCTGCCAAGAGTAGCTACCGTGGCCAATTTTTTTCGCCACACTGGTCTCTTTGCAGGGCCTCCTGAAATATCGGTGTCCAATATGGAAGAGCAATATATTGAAATCGATGTGTTGGACGCTATTTAAAGGCTTCCTCTTAATAACCTCTTGGCTATCAAAGAACTTTTGAGTCCAGTGATGGAGGATGACAAGCTAATCTGGAGTTGAATGAAAACGATATTATAGCCATGGTTCAGGAGGCGGAAGAAGAAGAGAATGACGATCAAGAAAGCGAAGATGTGGAAAAGCAGATTGTCACGAATCTGGAAAAGCTAATGGGCCTAGCAGTTACTGCTTCACTACTGGATGTGAAGATTCCCACAGATAGAGTGGTACTCAGGTACATTTGAGAACTGCGGAGAACTCTCAAAACGACGGCAACAGTCCCGACTACCATCAGTTCGTGACTGTTTCAAATTAGCTTAGCATGATTGCTTGGCACTTCATTTCCTTCTACATCAAAAGAATTCATGTTTGTAAGAAATATTAATTATTGCAGTACTTAACGTCGCATTGTGTCCATGTGATAGAAAGACTCGAAGGAGGCGAGTTAGGCAAAGCGCTATATACTGGGGCAACTACTATTTCACCAAATTATGAGTTAGTACTTGGCTACATTTGGTGGAACAAACATTTATTGGTTATACGAGGTTATTAGTTACTCGGATATGAGGTATTCGATAGACGACTTTATTAAGGTAAAAACTTTCATTCACCGACAGGCTAGTGATAAAGAAATGCTTTTGACTTTTTCACGATTGCCCACTCCTGTATGCATATACGCTGATCATTCTCATCGTGATGCCCAATAGCGCATTTCTATACTCTCATCCTTACAATCTACAGATTAGTCAAAGTCGCAGTTTACAAAAATTTGAAGATTATTGATCAAATCAACAATCCTACTAAAAGTAATGTAGCCATATTATGTGAAAGGTCATAACATGGAGGAGATCACAACAAAGGGAATTGTTTGCGAGACATATGAAGCTTTCAAGACGAGAAAACAAAACGAATTTTACATTCGACATGTCAATTATCCAAGTACAACACAGCGAAAACTACTGCAAGTGCATTTACGGCATTTCTTACTAACTATCGGGAATACAATTGATCGAGAATGGAGCAGAGACTGCAAAAAGATGGCGACTCAAGTGAATAAGGAAAAGGACAATGAAAGAGCTGAAAAAACGGCCAGTCTTGTAGCTGTAAGTCGAGAAAAATCTGAAGTTAAACGACACCAGAAAGCTCGTGTGATCCAAAGATTTGTTCGTCAGTATCGAAGCCAGGAATTGGTACAAGTGGCATCGTTTGAAAATGAAATTGAGCTGCAGTCTACGTCAAAGATGATTGCAATGGAAAAAGAGGATACATTCACTGCACCTTTACAAGATACTACTGAGATTGCTTCGGTTAATAAAAGTACCACTCCAGATTCGGCGATGCTTCCTCTATATGAATTAGTCATCGAGCTCGTTGGAATTCGCAATCTTACCAAGGATCTGACCGCCTTTAATGGCTCAGATGGATTTTATGTCGAGACATCAATTCAACTGAAGCGGCAAAGTTTTGTTGTTGCTAGCAGTCTATCAAAAATGCAATTTGTATCTGAATATCAAGATGGTGGCGTTGAAATATTAGTGCAGGATTGCTCATTGAGATTCAATGTGGACCCTGCAAACATGAAGCAATGTGGTCTTACTTCGCCACAAAGTGCGCTTGAGGAATTGAACGCTAATATAGTGGTGAGAACTTTCGAAAGTGGCTCTGAAAGTCACGCAAGCACTTTAGGCAATGTTGAAATCTCTTTGGCAACCCTCAAAACATCACTGGCAACGAAGTTTGTGCTATGCCGGTGGTTTCCGTTGACGAAAGCCCTATCGGGTCATTCATCTCATTGTGACCTTCGCATTCGTGTTTGTTACTTCATGCGACAAACAAGCGTGGATAACGATACGATGGTTCCGTATGTAAATACGAGCCCATCGTTAGGCTTTAGTAAAAAGTTTGAAATACCTCAAGAGCGAAACGAACGATTAGCAAGGCAAAGAAAGAGAAAATCCGCGGCGTCGAAATCAAAATGTCAGAAAACGAAGACAAATCAAATCCTAGACACTTCCGACAAACTCAATACTTCCGTTCGTTCACTTAAAAATGTAAACACGAGTCCAATTGCCCGAATTTCTCACGCAGAAGCAATCTCTCCACCACCTTCTCCATGCTCTGTCACATCATCTGAAGCTGGTGAGATTATGAACATACCAAAAGGCAGATGTCAGGCCACACCAAGTCGAAAAGCTGATAAATTATCGAAAAAACAGCACGTAAAATGTGGAAAAGTAATCGAGAATGCACCGACACAGTCGTCGGTACAAGCATCTTCAAAGACGTTTCTCAGACGAAAACCTTATACGGTGGTCTTTAAAAAGCTTGACTGGTCGAACGTCACGTCAAAGACTGATAGCAATTTGCCTAACACTACAATTAAGGGCTTGAAATCTAGTGTCTCATCTCGATCGGCACCGTGTTTGTCTTCAAGTCGAGCGACAAATTCGTCGACTAGATCTGAAAATACTGAAGCCACATCAGAAGATGCAAATTCTTTTTTAAGTAGTGATTCCAAACTCGGTGATTGTATCGATGTAGCAACTAATGAACGGTTAGCAGCGCTAGAAGGTGCACTGTTCAAACAATGCTCTGTCACACGAGATACGGTGCCACTGGCACGATATAAGTATGAAGCAGAACGCAAAAAGATCGTAGCTACCCTCCAGAGCCAAGCGCAGGTCCAGTGCATGAGGTCAATCGAGAATCTAGACGAACCTTCGAGTCAAGTCGACAGGGAGCCGAGTACCGCCATCTCGGAAAGTGCCATGAAGGAAGTATGGAAAAGACTCTCAAGCGATGTATCAGGACAAATTTACGCGTCAATGCTGCGAAACAGTATCAAGGTTATCGAAGCAAACGACAATATAGAAGCTAATGAGCTAATTGAGAACTCAAGACCTGCGAATTCAGCAGAACCGGTTGAGTTTTAAATTGTGATGATTCTAATGATCCGTAGTTTATCAAATCATTCCATGCTTGATATTGATCTATATCTACTAAAGTTATCATCAAATTGCAAAGATGACGCGACAACAAACATCAAGAGTTGAGATTGTCAGGGTCATTATATAAAAGAGCGATGGGTTTATTAGATTAATTATACTACAGTCTTAGATGACGTTTCAATAAAAAATCAAAATGCGATATCTGTGCATGTTTGCGTGTGGTGGCTTCTTTGGCCGCACTTGCCGAACGTATACTGCGTATACTATTCAGACTGGTAGTCATCGTTGTTGCGAATGCACGAAATCTTTGGACCCATAAAGAAAGCTGGTTTCCACGATTCGTCCAAAAGATCTCGTTTAAAGTTGAATCAAGAACTTGCTCCTCACCACAGTACACCTTGGTCTCTAAATTTGTTGGATTTGGTTACCCATAGATCGTTATCGCGCTCGACTACTGCAATATTTAAATTTTGTCTACATAGCATCATATACAGTGGCGCTTCGCTAGGTGAGGATTTTGTGTCGTATACATACGCAAATTTCTCGGAATTTCCGACCCGAGCTGACTCCTTCTAACTCCCATTTAGCAGCCATTTATATACGTCTAGCCACAAATGGCTTCAAAGTATACATAGGGATGAATACTACGGGTACCAGCCACCAAAGACGCTCATCACAGAAGCCGACGAGCGCCATTTGTACAATGAAGCGACTTCAATATTTGTACCATTTCACTGTCTCGAGCCGCTTCGCAGCACGATAATCTCGCGTAGTGTTTTGAAAATTTCGCAGCTCGTTGTCTGTAATGATGTACCAGAGTATAGTATCGTACGCAAAGATCAAATCTAAAAGTACTTAAGTTCCTCTGTCGCAGAACACAGAATTGCAGATTTTGTCAAGTACTCGTTATAAAAACCAGTAGTAAATTTTTCAAGCTTCGCTCAAAACGTTTTCAAAAGTGTTTGGATTTCCCGTAGTGGTCAACTACATAACTAGGACGCCACTTTACATTTGGCACTTACTGTGAGCACATTTCATCTCAAAACAAGCTGATGGGTCTCGGAGGACAAACCAAATACACCCAATCTCTCAGAAAATATCCATCGCGATCCTGTTCAGCATTTGTAGTGCACTACGAAGTTAAACTTACGAAGTTGGACACTAAAAGGAAATTGTCTTATAGAACCTTTGCAGTTGATTACAGAAATAGTATTCGCCTTAACTCTGATGCGGTAGTGAAAAGTACCATTAGCTTCGCAGTGCAACGCTTCCTTAAAAAAAATCAGTTTGGTAAGTGAGAATAAAGGTAATTTATCTTCAGATATTCTAGTGACGACGATACTCAACGAATGTAACTGTGTACGTATTCATTATACAATTTTCAAAGCGAATTTTGAACGTACAGAGGTTAAGAATCCATGATAAGGTATCATTAGTAGTACTCGGTACTGGGGAGGGTATTTGGAGAGAGGTCTGTGGTGGCAAGTGAGCTCTTAGCCCCATGTAAAAAAACGAGGTGTATTTAGATCAATTACCTGAGCCAATTTTCATTCTAAACATAGGCGGCGTTGGGGAAACGTCGACGCCCACAGTTACTCTTCTATTGTTAAACTCTGGTATAGCTTGAGGTGGAGATGAATTTGGCTATATCCCAGATGGAGCGACAATGTTTTTGTACCAGCAGTCTATAGCAAGATGGGTTTGCGTTCAAATGGACTCTCACATCAGTACCATTGCAGAAGAGACGCATCAAAGATAGGGACTGTTAAAGTAACAAATTGACGCGGGTCTTCGCACCACTTAGATTTTTGCCATTTCGATGAAAACACATATTGCAGCAGGTTGCCGTAGCTCTTTGTTAAAAGGAAGCTTACTCAAGGACACCGACCTTAGTTCTATACTATAACCTGTACGAGTGTAGCGGATCGCAATCCGCTACCTCCAAGAGTACGCAAAACCTTAATCCAAGGCAAATGTACTCTTCCGTTCAAAATTGAAACTGCATACATTTGTTTTATGTGGCGGAGCCATCTATATCTCATTCCTAGTTGAATCGTACACCCAGATAAATATGTTTAACTACTGCAGCCCCGCCACGGGTTGTTACGGTTTAGCCACACCATTGTGTGATTACACCGTCCTGTGTAATCCACAGTTTAGTACGGTCACACAAGATGGTGTGAACCACCCTTTCGTGCCAGGATGCGTGTTACTTAGTTTTACTCATGTCATCTAGAGCCTGTTGCTTTTGCTGTTCGAGCTTAGATGTGTTGATAAAACACTTATGCAGGAGACAAGTGTGTAGAACGCAATGATTTTGGCTTTTAAAACTAATGGCTCCTCAACCAGGCCATAACTAATATAATTTCGTATCCTGAGCCAATGTCTAGGACTAGATCAGTGCGCTCCATGCTGTCAAAGTTTGTAAAGTTAGACAGAACCTTCATTACCTTATATGTCTCTAGGGAACCCTCTAAAGTCGACGGTTATTTACAATGTTAAGCTGGGGTATCCAGAGATTTATGTTGTTGTAAAGACAGGAAAAACTGTGTGTCTTATTCGACAGGAAGTGATGTGATTCCGGAAAGAAAGTCAGAGCGGCTTGTTGCCACTGTCGTCGGGGAAGGAACGGGGGAGCTAAACGACTTCCTCTTGAGTATAAGGGTCAGACGCTGACATTATAAAAAAGGAACATCCTTGCATGATGTTGGGGTAGCGCTATGGTGATGTGCTCACCGTGTCGATTAGTTAATGCCACGATTTGCGGTAAGAAAATTTAACCCGAAAGTGAAGCGGTAGGAAAGTCCTAAGCATTGTGAATTTCACTGAATCACCAAGTGGTCTTGTTTGACCTCGAAATGTTTCCCAGGCAATGCGTATGAACATACATGATGGCGAAATACCTAATCGTTAGTATTGGAGAAAGAGTTATTTCTTTATTAGTCGTGGATGGGCTTGACGACGACACTTACAAAGCATTGATGTGATCAGTGGAGCAGCAATGACCCTACAGAGTGATGTGACATTGTGGCGGCGAGAGACCTACCTCAAAAATTTTCTTTGGATCGAAACTGCGTCATCGGGATGATAAGTTCACAAAATTTAATACTGTGGGATACTGCAGTAACGCTTACCAAGGGAGTATAATGTCATAGACATTTTGGCCGTGTAGAGCAGGGGATGTACCGTGAGAGAGTACATCTTCCACTTGGTGCAGGTGCTCTGTCGCAATGACTAACGGCAAGAGACAATTTATGAAGGCCTACAATAAGTAACATTAAGCCATCATTTGGCGCAACCGCCAATCCTAGAAAAGTTGTGCTGCAGACGGCATGATAAGTTACACGATATTATTTTTCTTCATCGAATCAGCGGATCTCACCAACTCTCATGCGAGACATCTCACTGCAGTGAGTACTCCGAGCGGGATGTTATATGTGTAGCTGGTTATACTGTCAGGGCCAATTAACGCACCAGTGGCATTCGATCACGACATTTCAGACCGCATCATAAAAGCATAAATCGAATTAGATGATTTTTGCTAATAAACGAGCAGCAATCGAAAGCACTCGTGAGCAGTGCTCGAGTGTATGCGCTAAAATATGATGTATGTCAGCATGGTTGGGTATGTCCTCATCACCGACAAATCGTATCTATGATAAATTTCATTGGAAAGCAGGGTTTGCGTGCAGATGCTGTGAGATCAAGAAGACGATGGATTTATCGATGTCATTTTCCCGAAGGTTTTGAAGAAAGAACTGGGCTTATTGCTTTCGCAAGCAGATTGAAAATCATGCAGGTATGTCAGAATCTCTCGTCAACTTCTCTGGGTGTTGAAAAAGGTCAAATATGATGCTGAGTAGCGGCAGATGATGTTGTCGACGAGAATATAAAAATTTTGATCCGAATGTAGCTATCCTGATTCCGATTCGTCGGGTTTTGCAGCCGCAGCAGATAAAGCTCACAAGAGCCAGACACAAAAGCGCCGACCTTGGCCGGTTGGCTTGGTTAAAGCGGAGTTCCGGTTCCATTCGGACAGATAGTGGGCCGCGACACACCCAGACTAAAATGCGTGTATCTGCTGAATTTAATGGTATACCCTCACTTCTAGGACCATTGGCGTTCAAAGTTCCAATGGCGAGCGATCTGGATCACAGGCTATTCTGCGGAACATCCTTGTTCCAAAGCTAAATGATATGAAACACATCGCTATAAGCTCTAAGATTATCGCGCCGCGATATCGCTCCTGATGCAGTCGTGGTTAGCCGTCAAGAATGACCGGGCTCCATGGCTGATGTGTAGTCGATGTCATACAAAAATTGTAGGCGTAGTGCTCAAAAGTACAGTGATGATGATAATATGCTTTAATTTAAGTATCCACAATTGGGAATGAGTACAGATTTTGCTTGAGTATCGCCACCTTTAAGCGGCAGATAAAATTTACCCTATTCGTGACAAATAGCTACTAAAATCTTGTTAAGATCAGGGTGGAATTTCGACGTCTAAAACAATAATAAGTATGTATGATCCTATTCATCAGAATTTAACCCCCTTTGTAATGCATATCGTGCTGAGTGTCCAACTGACACCTCTCTTGCGATGTATCCAATCGTAGCAATTACGAATCATGATACTTCTTTGTGGCGCTAAATTGTGGTGATTTTGAGCTTCGCGATAAGGCTGAAGGACAACAATGTAACGTGTACGTATCCTGTGAAAAGAGCTTTGCAACTCTGGAATGAGAATAGTTTTCATGCCCTAGCGAAGCGATCATTTTGCTGTCGCAGGGTGTAAGGGGATACGCATTCTGTTATGGTATACGCTTGTGGTCTTTCGGCGTGAGAGCAAAGCTCGTAAGTACAAAGAAGTTTCGTGCTTAGTTATCAGTGTGGAGGGGAGTTGTAGTACACCGTAAAGGAGGGATCCATGGGACACGTGGGCTAGTAGCCTCACTCAATGCGTTATTCGGGCTACTAACTTATTATGATTACTCAGATTTATATTGTATAATTCATAACTATCTTGAATTTCAAATATAACATGTAAAGTTTGTGGCAGTGTAACTTCTAGGTGCTTTGAAGGCTCTCGGTTTGGCACTTTGGGGGTTGCAAGATTTCATCAGCATGATGGTAAAGTTATCATATACTCTACACGCTCAGTGCGCTGACTGAAATCCAATTGAGAGCCTCTGCGTGAGGTACGCGGCAACCGGCTGAAGTCTCCGTACATGTACGACTTACATGAAGACAATTTAAAAAGGAATTGGAATGGAGAGCTCCATGAGACACTCCTTACGCAATGTTTGACATCGCCAAAAACAATTATTAGGTTCTTACGCTGGAGACTACGGCTGACATAACATGAAATGTCACTATCAAAGCATTTGCCTGAAAAAATTTATGACTTTCTATAAAGCTTTAACACACCTCATATCACATAGAGAGAGTCAGTATCATTCTTTGAATTTTGCGATTTATGTGTTAATCAACCCGTGATTATTGCTCGAAGTACGCAAAAAAACTGTATCTTAAGATATAGACTACTTTGACGATACTGCTATCCCCATGACAAAACAAAGTCCCTAGGGTGACAAGAATGTATGACCAGCATTATTTATATAATATAGAAAAATAGCATAGTAGAAAATTGGCACGAAAACGATCTTAAAACGTCAAATGGTGAGCATCCGTGTGCGTCTTGAAGAGTATGCATCGTCGGGTATCGTAGTAGATCCCAAAGACGAGAATGAAACTTCATCTCGAATTGCAGTGCGACCAACAAACAAAAGTAGAGCTCCGCATTCAACCTCCGCTCGAAGCGCAAGCACATCCCACCGCCAAAACGACAAGTATATGAACGCATTCGACACAGCGTTTAAGGAGCTGTCAATGCAAAAGATGGACCAGGTAGATCATGATATTGTTAGCACAACGTTAACACCATCGCACTGTACTTCTGCTGCACAAGAATCGCAAAAACTAGCTATGCATACGTCACCTGATGTTCGAAAGGTGGAGCTCAGTAATGCATGGATTAATGGGCCGTGTGTGCCAGAAGGGGAGGTACATGCTGTCTCATCACAGCCTCTTATGTGTATGAGTATGAGTACTGATGAGTGTGAGATCGTCGTGGGTAGTAGCGATCATGCCTTATACGTACTTCCTATTGGCAGACCATCTCGTCTAGCTCGCTCTCGAACACTTTATTCGAAACAATATGGTCATACTGAGTGGGTCACTTGCGCTACATATTTAACAGATCGACGAATTGTCAGCGGCGGTATGGACAGTAAACTTTGTCTATGGGATTCAAAAAGTGTAAAGTGTGAGGAAATGCTCGGTCATAGTGGATCAATATCTTGTGTACTGAATCTGAATGACGAAATGATTGTGAGTACGGGGTATGACAAATTGATGCGACTTTGGAATGTTGGTCGTCGTGTATCAAGCCGTCAACGCGAGATTAGCGTTATGCGGGCAGGAACGGCTCCAATATTAGATGTGTCATTGCTTTTCGGAGGTCAACGACTAGTGTCTGGCGATCGTGATGGGGGTGTACAATTACTTGATTATCATGCAAATCAAATGGTTTGGAAGCATGCAAGTGCTCATAAAGGGCACACTACAAGTGTGTTAGGTAGTTCTAGCGACATGTTCGCAAGTTGCTTTTATACAGGAGGACAGGATGGGATAGTGAATGCATGGGATTCAAGACAAGAGAAGGCTGTTCTTGCATTGGAGCTTCATCTTGATTCACGTAATCACAAGAAAGGTGCCGTAAGTTTTATTCGCGAGCCAAGTGAAGACCCAAATGTGCTTGTTACTGCTGGTGCAGACGGAGTTGTTAATGTATTAGACAAGAGACAATCATTTCGCATCATGTTTAGCTTCTCAGAGCACTTGGACTTTATTTATTCGCTTCATCTTCGTGGAACCTTGTGCTTTAGTGGTGCTGGAAACGGAATGCTCCATGTTCACAATTGGGAAACTGGTAAATTGTTGTATGGATTGGGAGCAAACCAAGCAGCGATTAGAGCAATTGCAACGTCGAAAGACCAACTTGTCGCTGCTGGTGATGACGGTGGTGTCATTGTTTATGACATGAAATGAATGCATATGCTTAATAGCGTACAACTTTCCCTTAAACTCTTGCAATTCTTGTCATTGTTTAAATACTTTCTACAAACTACCTACTGTTGCATACTAAGCGACAGTCTCAATTTTCTCATAGTCTGTCTGAGGTGTGTTGCCCCTGTTGTCGTGATCAGTATCATCGACCCACGAAACTCGAGCGCTAACGCTAGGACGATGAGCAGCCACAGGAGTCTCGAAGTCCATGCAATCGGTCACAAGGTATCGGATCTTACGGTCATAGTGATGCACCATGTGATCTTGCAACGAGCGCGGTGTGACCCAAATGCGGCGAAAGTAGCTCGCATCTTGCAATGTGTATTGCATCTTTTGTTCACCCAGAAACACGGTACAGCCACACCGACGAGCCATTTTTACTGTTTGAATGTGAACGATTTCTCCAGGAACATCTACTTCTTGACTCGAGTCTTCCTGAGGCAGCGAGATCATCGTATTGTTGCTCAATTCACGCGAAGGGCGAGTTATCACATTGCGAGTTGACCCAAAATCGGTTGGTGTAGGCAAACCCATGGACGAATTGTTAAGAAACGACCCCGAGCTTACCGTCGAATTGCCAGTATGAAAAGAATTGGCAGTTTCCAGCACAGTAGGTAACCTTGAAACAGCCGCGTCACTTTCTGACACGGAATCTGCTGAAGCTTGACGTTCTTGTTGTGATTTGATTAACTTATCATGGATGCCAAACGTGACTTTGTAAAGAGGTTCATTGGCTACAGCGTCATATTGCACGGCCATTTCATCACGTAATCGTGTCATATTAGCAATCGATAGACGTGGGACAATATCATCGCCATAGACAGCAGTGGTGGCGAATTGTTTTGTCCATGCAGCTGTCTCTGGATCAAAAAGTGGCGGTACGGCATATAGAAATGCTTTTGTTTCAGTAAAGACCTTGCGAAGTAGAATTGCAAGGATACATCCAACTCCAGCACCCATCGAGTGACCACAAACTACTATTTTCCAATCTGTTGATTCGTCAGCTGTAGATTCTTTTACACTACAATGAGCCATAGCAAAATCCCAAAAAACAGTCTTGCGCGTATCTTCTTGAAGGCTCTTAAAGATTTGACGTGCTGTTTGTAACATGCCATAGTGCGTCCGTGTGTCAAAAGAGTAAGGAATATCATCTGGAAGCTCATTTGGATCCATGCGCACAATCTGAGCCAATCCATCTGTCACAAAATCATAAAAGGACATACTACCGCGTACACTGATGATGAGTTCTTTGCGCGTTTTGTCCTTGACAATACAATATGGAGCTTGAAACACAAAATTAAAGCAATTAAGATACACGAGATCGGAATCCTTGACACCTGTGTACCTAACAAAAGTAGCACGATTACCGTGAAGAAAGTTGTCGTGCTCAAAGATTTGTTCTTCTTGAGGTTTCTTAAAACACCCAAAGATATGAAACCAATAGCACGGCGAGTACCAGACGTAAATGGGCCAACCATAAATACCGATAGCCAATCGACAATAGAACGCCAAGTCATTTAATCGCTTTTCTTCTTCTTCTGGTGCAAAGTGCTGGACAGTCGGGATGCCTTGTGCAGCCAATTGAGCTTTCTTTTCTGTCTCAAGCTCCCGTTCTTTCTTCTGCACTTTTGACACGAGATCCAGACTAAATTTTAAATCAGTAAAACTTAAGCCTTCGTATCGGTTCGTCTTGTATCGCACGACAAAAAACTTGCCTAATACGCGTCCTAGTGTTTCAAAAACGTCATCATCCCCTTCATATTCGACCGTTTTATGACACGTAAAAGCGTGAAAACAACACATGCAGCGCTTTTGCCAGCGCTTTTCTGCTTCAGCAGCATCATCTCCACTATGAACACCACACATATACGACGTGCAGGCACCGACCATGACAATAACTACTGAAAAAACAAAATCAAAGTGTTGAAAGTAGCTAATTGAGTCAGCACGGTCCTGAATTTGCTCCCAATTAAAGTCACCACAGACGCTAGTATCAACACGCATTGCAGCCTCACCATAGAGTGACCAGCCGAGATTTACCCAATAGCCCACAAATATACTTAGAATCAACCAGCCCTAAGCAGCAAGAAAATGGGTCACAAAATGCAATTTGAGGCTGTTAAAAATGGTGACAATAAACGTACCTCTGGTCGACGTTCGTGATAGACGCGAGTTGTAAGAGTATAGACAACACTCGTGAGCATCATACAAGCTAAGATTAAGTGAAGGATAAATGCCACACGTAGCCATAAAAAAAGATCCTGCAGTCTGTCGCAATTATTGTAACCTTCGGGCTTGTCAATGAATCCAAAGGCCAATAACATGGGCAGATCGTGAAAAATGATAAATAGCACAAATGGCATCATGTAAGCGCGTGGGTTGAGCACAATACGCTTGAGACTTGGCGGTTGCAACTTGCATGAACTCTTAGATTTACCTTCGATCGTTTCCATTGGCGTCAGCGTATCATGCGCCTCCATGGCTGTACGAGACTCTATCGGTCTGGCTCGAACCGACTTGAGACCAATTTGAAAAGTGGACATGTTGACGGCAGGGATGCTTGATGATGCAGAGATGGGTAGCATAGATTGACCCATTTTCGAGTTCCAGCTGAACAAATGGGTACCTTATAGCTTCACGTCTATGAATATTGCGATGAATCACAAACGCTGCCGAAATGATGTGCTTGTTAGTTCGAACTTTTGTATCTGAAGTCTGCAGGTGACTTTAATGTGTTCAGTTTACTTACGTAGGCCCCAATCGTCAGTTGTAATATACACCGCTTACAGTTTCGCGCACTGCGACGGGCAATTCGTTGCAAACCACGCCTTCAAATGTGGTTATGTGGACTAATCGACCTTATCCCTAGTGCTTTTAATCACTGCGTGAAACTTACGTCAGTAGTATTAAAAAAAACTGGCATGATGTAAGCCGACTCTTCTTTTTATAAAGCAAGAAAAAATGGGTACTTTCACGCTAGCCTTTGCCATAATCTTACATGTGACACTATGTTGAACTGCATATAAAAGATCCATTTCTCCGAATATAATGACAGAGAATTTATCTTCTATTTCTTACAAACATCATGGTAATTAAAGCTAATAATTATATTGCGCTCTTACTATTTTTTTATATTGGTCATGATATTTTAAGAACTGTGTTGCTTTACTCTGGCTACTAACTGAATTTAGCCAGTTTGTCGAGCTCTCACAGTACATGCATCTTATCAATATGTGAGCACATTACCTAATCAAGTAAGCTAAAGAAGAGTAGGGCAAGTCGTAGTGGTCTTCGTCATATGACGGAACTCATAGAGCTGTTTTAAAGTGCATTCAGCATCGTAACTTGTTATATAACATTTCCAACGTCCCTGTTTCGTAATTCTTATGTCTCGTCTTTCTTCGCCACGGATTCAAGATACCCTGGATTTTCATAAGTAAAGTCTTTAAAAGTGTCTGAGTCCCGTCGTGCATGTGCTGTAGTAGCCATGCCACGACTATTTCGTGGACTTGCAACCGCATTATCAGCGCTTGGTAGAGGTAAACGCGTAAACTCTGCTTCGAAATTAAGCGGAATTTCACCATTATTTATGGCCGAAAGGCATGGTCGAAATGGTGGCACCACTTGTTTCTTTGCTAGTGCTGTCCAATCAATGCCTTCAAAAAATTGGTGCTGTTTAACCTGGTGTGCACCATTCGAACCCAATCTTTCCGCCGGGTTGCGTATCAATAGCTGACGAATAAGCGCTTCTGCTCGCCTTGAAACGTAGGGCGGAAAGTGTAGTCGAGCCGATCGAAGACGATCAAACAGCTTTTTTCGGTCACTTGTGTACCATGGTGGTAACCCTGTCAACATTTCGTATAATACCATGCCGAGATTCCACCAATCTACTGAAGTTCCATGGCCAAGCCGGTCGAGAATTTCAGGTGGTAGGTATTCAGGGGTGCCACACAAAGAATTTGTACCATTCACACCATCGTGTATTCCTTCTTTTGCAAGTCCAAAGTCTGCTAATTTAATGTGTCCGTCTGAAGTAAGAAGAATATTTTCTGGCTTTAGATCTCGATATACGACACCAAGTCCGTGCAAATGCTCTAATGCTAACGTTATCTCCGCAGCATAAAAACATGCCATGTATTCTGGTAATTTTTTCATGCGTGACAAGTGATAAAACAACTCGCCACCTGGGCAGTAATCAAGTACAAAGTACAGTCGCTTAGCGGTCTGAAAAGCATAGTGCAGTCCAACAATGAACGGATGTCGCGTACACCCTAGTACACGTCGCTCTGTGCGCGTGTGTTCCACTTGTTTACGTCTTACAATGTTTTCTTTGGCCAGAATTTTCATCGCGTACAACTTTTTTGTCGTGTTGTGACGTACGAGCACGACTTTGCCAAAAGATCCACGGCCAATTACTTGGATCATTCTAAAATCTTGAAGCGTCACGATCTGTTCCCCGCTTGACACTCTGTTCAGTTCATCGTCCCCATCACCAGCGATAGAAGCTCCAAAGAATCGTGAGCGCTTCAATGGCAGTCTGTCCAGTAAGAGTGGCGGTTGATCAGCTTTGGTCGTTAAAAATTTACGAACATCCTCTACCAAATGGGGATTTTTAGCTGATTGGTCTACGCGGTCATAGCTCAGTAGGCACTTAAGCCAATCAGCCAGCTCACTTTGCCGCTTAGCGATAAATTCTGGCTCGAATGAACCAAGCAGTTTCTTAGGAGGCAATAATGGCACACGTACACCCATCGGACGTAAGCGATCATTCAGCTCCTTAAATTGCTGGTACCGTCGATAGATTATCCACGTTGCACCCGATTGAATACAGCGCATTTCTATCGCGTATACAGTATAGAGTCGATTTGACATATCGTATGCAAATCCATGGCTACCAATCTTGACAAAGTCTGCTCGAGCACCATGAGGAATCAAATACAACGCCTGTGCACGTGAGTCCTCTTCCTCTTTGGCAATCATCTCATGGTCTGCACAGTACCCGGACACACGCTGATGTAATTCAAAACAGCCAGAAAAGTTACATTTTGCAGGTGAACTCAATGGCAGTTCATCACTTGGTGCATAAATTGCTGCCATATTCGAACTACGAGCTCGCATGGAATTCACTGTTGGTATTGGAACTTCTGGTAAGGCATCTTCAATCTCAATATCAGCCGTTTCATCTGCCGTATACAACGACAATAAGTAAGACGACGAGGACTCTACTGTCGCTTCTTTTCCCTGCTGCTCTATGTTTCTAAACGATGTACCAAATATCATCAGAATCAATGAAAAATTGCTGCCTCAACACTTCGCTTCCCACCTACTTGTGTTCATGCTGTGCGACCACTGAATCAAGCGTCACCAATGTAAACTGCTGGTCAATTTCTTCGACCCTATAGCTCTCACCTGTGTCGAGATCTGTAACCAAATAGGATGGATTGTCCCACTCGATTAGTTCCTTTTCCGTATCATTTGTCGTTCTACTCGACATGTCATTGACTCTTTCTTCATCAGACGATGAATCTTCAATGTAAAAATCTTCAATTTCACGCTGCTGCTCCACGTACGGATTAAGTCCTTCTATAAGTTGCTGCCCAATTTCATTCTGTAGCTCCGCGGCCGAGTGCTGTGCCACATCTTGTACGCCAACATTGTATTCATCATCACTCTCACTGCTTCCATCGCTACTAATGATGCTGCTTGCATAGCCTCCTCGAGAGGCACCAGTAATGTAGTCCTCGGAATCCACGATATCTTGATTGCTATTCAATATCTCCATTTTCAAGGTACCAACTTGGCCCAAATCGGTCGAGTTAGAGAGTTCTACATTATTGTCAGGTAAATGGCTACACTGATGATTCACAGAGGCCCCTGCAGGCATCCTGAAAGGCCCTTAAGGTGACCACCCGTCAGAGATATTTTGTTCTTTTAGCAACTGTGATGAAAATTTCGTAATTGATGTAATACACATTAATTAAATTCTATTACAACCGCTCCGCCAGTCATACAGTGTCGACTATGGCCGCCGCTGCGAAGAAGCTTGACGTATTTTCGACAACAAGCGAATATTCCAAGACCTATGTGTTTCATGATGAAGATCACACACTTGGTAATGCGCTGCGCTATGTTCTGATGCGAAAGTACGTATTGCTTTTAAATTTATTGTAATGTGGCGAGGTTCAAAACGTAACACTTTAATGTCATTGCAGCCCTGACGTCGACTTCTGTGGCTACACAATTCCACACCCATCAGAGCCTAAGATGCACATTCGACTGCAAACTCGTCAAGGTAAATATGTTGTGGGATGAATTCCGAGTGAGCGAAATATTGATCGTCTTGTTGCTTCAGGTGCGCCAGCCGACGAAGTGCTACGCTCGGGTCTTACAGACCTGCGAAAGATATCGATGCAGATAGGAGATGCTTATCGAAAGGAGCTTAAGTCATTTAAGCGCAAAAATACCAAGTCTTAGACCCTACGACTTGTTCATAAATTTTGTACAAGTTTGTCGCTATCATTAAGTATTATAATGTCATACTTTACTTATCATCTTTAGCTTTTGAAATCAGGATTTAAACGACCTTCAAGCATGAGCCTTCAATTCCTGCGTAAACTCACCACAATGCCGCTACTTCAGCGCAAAATGTCCACGCGCGCCATTCCGACACTCCTGACACCTACAGAGCGCGTTGTAGCCTTCGAGCAAATCACTGACGCTTGGGAATTGGTACCCGATCGCGATGCAATTCGTCGCAGCTTCGAGTTCCGCGACTTTAATGAAGCTTGGAGTTTTATGACTCGCACTGCACTATTAGCCGAACAGATGGGACACCATCCTGAATGGTTTAACGTCTACAATCGCGTCGATGTGACGCTAAGCACTCATGATTGTGGAGGCCTGTCCCAGAACGACGCGTTAATGGCCATCGCGATGAACAGCTATGCACAGGCAGTATGAAGTAGCAGTAGTCATTTGCTAATAACATCACGCTTTATTGCCTGATTGGCTTACGATGAGTCCAAAAAGGAATCATTGGCATTCTCGAGCATCATATCCACGATGTAAATTTGCGCGTATCATACAGAGATTATTGAAATTTAAAATACGTAAGATTACTGTGTTGACGTTATAGGAAATTGCGCACTATAGTTCAACTAGCGCCTAAGCATAAGCTGAAACGACTCCAGAGCAAGTTATATAAGCTACCATGAGATGTTGGATCGAGGGTATCTATTTCATGTCACCAGATCCTGATAACAGTTCTGGTGAGCCCGCCAGTGTAAGTGTACTTTTATTTTTAAGTGGGATTTGGCCACTCCTTGCTTACTGAGCAAAGCCGGCGGTGGACGACCTTTTTGTTGCTGGCTCCCGCGAGCGCTCTCGAGTACTTGGTATACCAATTTTCCCCGGAATTTTCGATTAGAAACCAAAATTGAATCAGCCCTCCAAGCTACCTCATTGTGCAGAGTAAGTCAAGGCATTCTCGCTACCCTTGAGCAGAGGATAGGTTGGCTTCTAAAGTTAGTGGTCACATTGGTTCGTCTACAACAAGAGCACTTCATCCGACCAATTAGTAAGGGTGAGATCGTGATATAGAATTGCAAGCTCGCGTAAAGCAAAGAGTTTGCTTCATTCTGCTTAAAGTGTACAGAAATACTTTGTTCGCTACGATCGTGAACAGTCTAACGTAACATGGTTGAAGTCGTCTTTAAGACCACAGACACTGCATATTTAGATAGATTGACAGCTTCTATAAAATGTATCGCCCAGCTGCATATTGTAGTTTGTCTATCTTTAGCCTCGGCATTTTGCTTCCGTACGTCCTGAATCTCAGTTATGGTTTCGTGAACTTAATGCATCGCGCTAAATCTCACTGAGACAAAAATCTTTTTATTGCTTAAAAAAAGTGTAGCTGAGTGATATCATCTTGAATCGAAACCCATTTCTCATCAAGCCTGATGCGGAACGAGTGGTGGAAGATATTCCCCGACAGCTTGCGTGAAAGACGCAGAGATAAAGCTAGTTGCTACCGGTCATTGAGTTTGATTTCAATTTGTTGTGCCCGTCTCTGCAATTGTTTGTAAATGTTTTTTTTACTTTTCGTCACTTAAATACTGTTAAATGTGCAATGGTTGACGGCAGGCATGTTCAAAGTGGTGCCTGGAACCTTGAACAAAGTTCGCAACCAATTTGATATGAAGCGCGGATCTTGATCCGCACAATTGCCACCAGCAAGAGTAAATTTACTCACGGGAAGAGTAATGATGAATATTTTTGACCACTGAGCTCAAGTCCCACCAACCAATTTGACAT